TTTTTTGTGGTGGAAGGGTTTTTCCTTGAGGGGTTTTGCCCGGACGCCGGGTTTCCCCTCCATATGTTACCATGTTGGTATTTTCTGATGTATCCTGGGGCGTTCTTGCCCAATTGATGGTTAGTCACTTTCGTGAAGAACCAGGGAGGGTGTTCGTGAGTCTGCGAACATAACTGTTGGATACATGTGCTGGATGATTTTGTGTCACGCAGACTGGTAAGATAACCGTTTGATAGGGGGCACCGCGATGATTCACGGGGCCCCTCCTTGTTGTGGGAGCCGCTCTTTGAGTACTCCCTCTTTCGTCCCTGTGAAGGACGGTCGTCTACCTCCCGTGAAGTTAATACATCACCAAAACAGTCTCACCCGATAAATAAGTGGCGTAGGCCGCAAACAGTTCGTGTTGTGCATCCGCCGCCGTGCGTCGCTGAAAGTCTCGTGCCGAATGCCGAGACTGTTGGCTCGCTCGGCAAGGCTCACTCCACCAGACTCAACGGGCTTGCACCACTGGCCGGGGTGGCACACGTCCGTGTCAGTACACGTGTGCTCTCCCGCTCCGGCTGCTACAGCGAGCGCTGTCTGGTAAGTGGTCCAACCTGCATCGAGCTGTTGCAGTGCTGCTTCAGCGCTTGTAACGACGCGCGGAGTGCACGAGTGTTGGCCGCGTCGATCGCAGCTACCTTAGCTGCTGCCTGTTGTGCCGCGCCAGCATCCAGCATGGCCCGTACTCGCTCCATCAACACGGGGTCGTTCTGCATCAAATCCATCGCGCTAGAGCGACGCTCCTCCGCAACCTGCGTACAACGTATCAGCAGTTGTTGGAGGAGTCGGGGGAACATATGAGTGAGCGACAAATAAACACCACGGTAACAGCTTCATTGCAGCAGTTACAGCAGTCACTAAACCCGTGCAACTTTTAATGCGCTTGCTGTGCTTAAGATATCGACGTCGTGGAATGGACCTCAATTCTTGTGGGGCAAAGAGGACGGGCAGCGCGTGTACCAACTTTCAAATTCAAGATTAGAGCAGCTGGCACGAACTGGCGCGCAAACTAAAGCGCAGTCAATCAAGCACTAGAACACCTTTCAGCAGCACCTCATAAGTGATTCAAAACTCACCGCTTCCTTCCGCAAAGTATCTGGGGTTAGCACCGCTTCTAGTCCCGCCATCATGAGCCAATGCTAGAGGGTCGGAGAGAGCTGCGTTCACCCCCTTCCGATGCGCCTTCTTCACCACAGCAGATGAAGCAGCAGCAGCAGCAGGCTGTCGTTTCCCGCGTTTCCATGCTCTCTCTCGGATGCCTTCAACATGCTCTCTACCCTTTTCGAGGAGCTCAACTTCATCCGCAACCACAGCTTGAACGGATTTTCCAGCTGCCTCGGTGGTACCCTTTCTCAACAGCTGGCTGATCAGTAGTAGACTATCCCGCGGATATGCTTCTTCCGCTGCTGTCTCACTGCCCTCTCTTCCCCTCGGATTCCGATTTTGCGGTCTACCTGCACAAGGCTGCCACGAGCCACGGTCAGGCCCAATTGATAGGTAGGTATGTACAACGAAAATCAACGAACATGGAAAGAGAGGTACCTTGCTCACAACAGAAGCTACATCTGAAAGAAAGAGCAAATGACAAGCAAACAAGATGAGGAGTAGACGAGAGACAAAGGAGGAAGAAGAAGGAAGCAAGTTTACGGAAGGGAGGAGACAGACAGAGAAAGAGAGCAAGAGCATCGTCGGTTCGTTTTTTTTTTTTACGTCGGCCGACCCGACGCTTGAGCACGGGGTCCCATGCCGAATCGGTGAGGCTTGGGACGTTGACAACGATGAGGCGCCACGACGAGGAGGAGGAAGAGCAAGGCAGACGGTGGGGTCAAGGAAGGGGAGAGGACGGGGGCCCGCCGCCGAGGGGCGGAGGTGAGAGGAGGAGGTCGTCGAGCCAGGGTGAGCGACGGGTGACCAGTAGAGAGCACTGGGTCTTTGAGGATTGAGTCACGTCTATCGCCGTTCGCAGGGGGGAGAACGTGCCACCCAAGACCTAGGCAGACGCGTTCCAACTCCCCAATGCTAGCTAGGCAGACCCAGTCTACGTACATCAGCCGCTGGGGTCCGTCGCATACGCAGCAATTCACGTCCTCACAAGGCCACCACAACGATTCCCGCGCGCACGGCGGGAGTTCGTATGGTAGGGGGG